GCTCCTCTTCCATATTCCTAATCCTTTTCTCTAGCATCTCCTTCTCCTTCTTCCACCCGTTCATCCTTTTCTCCATCCATTTCTTCATCTCTTTTTTCTCCTCATTCCATTTCCTAATCTCTTCTCTTATCTCTTCCCATCCCTCTCTTGCCTCCCCCTCACTCTTATCTCCCTCTATCTCCTTTCTTATTGGCGATCTACCCGTTTTCCTACTCCTTCTAAAAATATTATCCTGCTCCTCTTCCTCCTCCTGTCTACTTCTTTTTCCCCCTTTTTTTAAAATAATTCTACTAACGGTACGCTGTTCGCGTCGGTCTTCCTACCTTTCCCTTCTCTTTACCCTTCGTCCCCCCCTTTACCTTCATATCCTCCTCTATTTTCTTGCCCTCCTCTACCTTTTTATCCTCCTCCATTTTCTTACCCTACTCCACCTTCTTATCCTCCTCCATATTCACCTCCTCCTTTTCTATAAACCTCTTCCTTCTATTATTTGCCTCTTTCCTTCTTTCCTCTGTACGCTCCCCCTCTATCTACCTTCTCTATTCTATGCCTGCGGCCCACTCTTCTTGTCTCTACCGCTTCCCTCTCTACCACTCTCGTTAGTCTATGCCTGTCACGGCTCCCTAGCTAACCTATCTTCCGCTACCCTCCCTTCTCACCTCTGTAGCTTTCCTACTCACCCACGCGCCTCCCCTTCTCTCTCCCGCCTTCTCATCCAATCTCCTTCACGTCCGCCCGTATCTCGCTCTTCCTCCAACGCTCTCTTTCCTACTCTATATACCTTTCACTCTCTCGCTCACTCTCACACACTGTCACTCGCACGCTGCCGGAAACGGAAGTCCACGAATATTTAACTGTTAAATGTAAAAAAACTCGTTTTATTCATTAACGTTTTTTATTATAATATTAATATAGTAATTAATATAAAATAATTGTGAAACAACCTAAAATAAAAACCATGTAAAAAATATTTTTTATATACATATATGTCGCAAATGACTAATCAATATGAAATAAATGTAAAATAAGTATAAATAAGTATAAAAATATATAATAAGTATAAATAAGTATAAAAAAATAAACATTTTTTTAACCGTTTATTCAACATATGGATTTTAAACGTAAAATGAATGTTTTTTAAATGTTTAATAAAAGTTTTTTTTAATAAACGTTTTTCGTAATAAAAATTTGCAAATGTATCTAAATATGCTAAAATAAATATATCTAAAGATGATAAAACTAAAGCCCGAACGTGGACAAAAATTGGATGTCCATAAGATGTCCCGTAAAGGATATCCGTTCAAGGTACGACAACAGACGTCCGTTAAATGTCCATTTCACGTCCACGGACGTTCGGACGTAAATTGGACTTAAACTGACGTCCACAGGACATCCTGTGCTATCTGGGTTCTTCATTCTTTATCTTCAGCTCCTCTTCTCTCTTCTCTATATCCGCCTTCCATGCATCAAGGTCCTTTTTCCATTCCTTCTTGATCTCCGAAATTATATCTTCTTTGATTTTATTTAATTTCTTATCTAGAATCTCTTCCATAGCCTTCTTTATCTCATCCATGTTTATCTTAAACTCCTTCTTTTCTACTTGTCTAATTTCTCCTTTCTCTTTCTTCTTTCTTTCCGTGTTTTCCCCCCTCTCCTTCCTCTCCACTGTTTTCCGTTTCGCTTGCTCTGTTCCTCTTTACCGAGCCCCAGGATGCTACCGATTTCACGCTGTTGCTTCTTCTTCTGCTTCTCTTTCTCTCCCTCTGCAACCTTGCCACGTTGGTCGGTCTTCCCGGCCTATCTTCGAGCCACGCTCTCGTCCTCTCTTTTAAAGGCTCGCTCGGTAAATCTCTTACCTCGTCGGCCATACACTACGAATCCGCGCTCTGGTATCGCGTTTCCGGTCCACGTGCTCTGGTAATAAGATTGCAAAAAAGAATGCGGATGCTATGATGTCACATGCGCCTCCTCGTTGTTGCCGTGCCTCCCTTCCCTCCTCTCACGTCCGCGAACCTTCTGAACTCACGTGCGCGGCGATAGTCTCGGATGACATTTGAGGTTAGAAACCTCTGTTTTTGCTTCTCTTCTTATTACTCTCTGCCTACGATCCATGCGGCTCCATCCCAGTGAGAAATGATTCGTCGATGTCGAAACGACATCGAATCGACATCAACACCGTCGAATTGACGTCGATTCGACATCATTTCGACGTCGATCGACGAATCATTTCTCACTGGGATTCTCTCTCCTCTCTCCTCTCCTCCGCTTTGTCCGCTCCTCCGTCTCCTCTTTGTATGCTCCTTTCGCCTTTCGCCTGTCATCTTTCGTTCTCTCCGCTCGTTTCACTTTCTCTTGCCTCCCATCATCCTGCTTCCGTTTCCTCTCTCCTCCCTTTCGATCTCTCGATTTCACCAACCAATCGCCTTCTCTCCTGTCCATCGATCTCTCGCACTCGACCTCATCACTCCCCACCACTTCCATCGATCTCTCGAACCTCCCATCCAATCCTCTTCCTTCTCCGTATCGATTCTCGATCACCTCCGTTCTCCCCCACCACTTCCGTCCTCCTTGTTCCTGACTGCCGACTCATGCCAACTCATCTCACTTTCCACTTCAGTTACTCTCCTATCCTTCACTGTTTCTTCTCTCCTCCATTTCCACTGTCACTTCTCCGTCTCCTCTTTCCATCACCTCCTCCATCTCCCGATCACTCCTCTCCAGCCTGTCCCTTCAACACCTTTTTCACTCCGCCTTCTCACTGTAAGTCTTTCTTCTTCGCCATCTTTTCCCCCTCTCCCGAATAACATTTTAATATAAAAACTAATAAAATACCTAGTTTGTGTAAAGAGTCAGTTTCGTTGGCGCCATTTTATTATATCAATACTTTTGTAGAGGAGAGGGGGTAAAGATGGCGAGGAGGAAAAACGTGCAGTGAGAAGGTGGAGTGGAAAAAGGTGTAGAAGGAAAGGTTGGAGAAGAGTGAACGGGAAGAAAATGAGGTGATGGATAGAGGAGGCAGAGAAGTGGCAATGGAAATGAAGGAGTGAAGACAGGGTAAACGTTAGGAGAGAAACAGCAGGTAGACAAGAGGATGAGTTGGCAGTCTGGAACGAGGAGAAACGAAGTAGTGGGGAGAGAATGGAAAGGATCGAGAAATCGATTGCAAAGGAAGAAGAGGAATTGGACAGGAGGATTGAGAGATTGATGGCGGCAGTAGAGGGGAGTGGTGGCAGCGAGAGCGAGAGATCGACAGACGGGAACGAATGGAATTGGTCGGAGAGGGCGAGAGATCGAAAGCCGAAGGAAGAGGAAGCAGTAGCAAGTGATTCAGAAAGGTTAAGGGACGGAAGGTACGAGAGTGTGAGACAAGGTGAGAAAGGAGAAAAGCGGGCAGAGAAGAGACATTGGAGGAGAAGAGCGGAAGGAAAGGAGGAAGGAAAGAGAGTTTGGAAGCAGGGGCGAAGGAAGAGGGGGAGAAGGCGAAGAGAAAGAGAGGAGAGAGAAGATACAGGGAAACCACAGGCGGAGGAGGGAAGAAGAAGGAGAGGAGTGAAGGGGAGGGAAGGAAGAGTCGTGGTAGAGAAGGAAAAAGGAACGGAGGCAAGAGTGGAGAATAGAAGGATTTGGTTGGATGGGAGGGAATGGAGATGGATAGGAGGAGAAGAGGGAAGGGGAGAGGAGTGGAGAATGCTATAGAAGTGTTTAATTGCAGGAAGGAAGGAGAGGATGAGAAGGAGAACAAGGGAGAGGAGAGGAAGAGAGAGAGGAGCAGGAATGGAAGGAAGAAGGAAAGGAGGAGAAGAAGAAGAAAAGCAGGAAGGCAGAAGTAAATGAAGGGGCAGAGGAGAAGTGGAGGACCGAGGAAGAAAAAGACGGAGGGGGGGAGAGAGGGAAGGAGGGGAGTATAGGCGGGGGAGGCGGGAACGGAATAAGAAGGGAGAGGACGTAGGGAGGGGGGGAAGAATGTAATGGTCGCTAAGGGTCAGGTCGCATGGAGAAGGGAGAAGGTGGAAGGATTGTAAAGGGTTTGGGTACGCTCCCTATAAAAACGCCACTTTTGCCCAAAAAGGGAATAAAGTTTACTACTACATTACTTTTGTAGAGAAGATACTTGGGGAGGGGGAAGGGGAGAGAAGATAAAAATGTTTTTTCTGTAATAATAAAAGATATCCAAATACTTAAATAATTAAATTATATAATTTTTGATTGAATGACGCATATATTTGGCGTCTTTTTACCTTTTTTAAAAAAGGTTATTTTTTAAGTTTTATTTACATAAAATTTACAGCTGCATTACGGATAATTTTTTACTTACCCCCATATAAAGGACACTCTATTTTATAAGACCGGTTATCAGGAAAAATTCTTTTTTTTACATTAGCAAAACAATAATGTAACTAAATGTTACGATTGGCCTCAGCCTTTCCTACTGTACTATGTATATAATTTATAAGTTAAGCTCACCTAATTCCAATAATTCTTTCGTGGTTCGTGGAATATTTAACACACGTTTCTTCATCGTTTCAAATACAGTGCATATTTTGAGATTGTAACTCCAATGATGCTTAACAAGTTTGTCGATGATAAGTTCTCGTAATTGATTCACGTAAACAATGAGATCATGCTTTGCAGTGGTTTGTTGTAGTTTTATTGTCACTAAGTACTCATTATTGGGCTGCAAATATTTTTCTTGTTTATGTCATGGTTACTAGTTTCATTATGATCATTTTTAAACAATAAATACTATACTGAATATTGATTACCATACCACTCTATCACATGAAAATTTTGAGGAATTATAATTGATAATAAAATAATAGAGTGTATTACATCTAAATTTTACATTGACTGTATATCATCTAATAATTTACATAAACGCGGCGTTTCTCAAACAAAGTATAGGCGACCTCCAGGGAATTGTAGTAACATGTCAGACAGGACGCAAAATAATAATTTTATAAAGCTTCTTATACGAAGTTTTCTTTAATTGAGCAAATATTCTTGCTCTATCCTATTGGGTTTTCAGAGAGGGGTTGCTAAATATTAACTTTACTATTTTTACAAAGTACTAACTTTACTATTTTTATGGGGTTAACTTGCTAACATGAACCATTAAGAATCTATAGAACATTTCTTATAGGTTTTTTATAAAAATTATTTTATAGATTTTAAATATAATCAATATCAGCGTTTTTATCCTTATTTATGTTGCTCAAATATAAGGGTTTTTTAGATTGTTGAATGACATCTGATGTCAAAATTTGATGTTAAAGTTGGTGAATTTAAAATGGCAAAACTAATATGGCGCGAAAAATTAAAATTAGATAGAATTAAAAATGTTCAAAATTATATATTTTTTAAATAATTCAAAATTATGATGTGATAAAGGAATTTGGTAAACGGGATCGTACTTGGTATCATAAAAACCTTGAGAAATGATGTTATATTTTCAAATATTCTTGTTCTCATACCAAAAAAAAATTAATTTTTTTGTTGAATAGAGTAATACTATCTACTAAACCAAATGTAACTAAAATGAATAAATAAATATGGTGAAGTATACAACATACAGCTTCAGTATAAAGTGTAGTTAGAGATGTTTCTGCATTTGTAGAGTTACTGTATTAAATGTAGTATTAAATGTAGGAGAAGTATAAGTAATAAGTAATTTGGAATTACGTTTAGAATTAGTTATGCATATTGTTACGCCCGCGTTCGGATGTGACACCCGGTATCCTGGCATCCCATGATACCGGGCATCACATCCGATTTCAATTTTTTGAAAAACGCTGGTATTAATTGAGGGAGATTGAGTCGAGCTGAATTTAGTCGAGCTGAAAGGCGAGACGGACGTTTCTATGAGTCAGAGAAATAAAATCTCGGTTTTCCTTCGAATTCTTTGTGTCGGTTTATTTTGCGCGTGCACGTGTCTTGCGGTTGTACAGTGATCTGCGTCTGTGCGCGTGAAGGATCGCAGCCTTAGCGGCGCGGCGCACAGTGGGGCCAAATGACATTTCGGGTTTCAAAAAAGGTTACAGCCTCTAAATCTGAGCCAATTTCGATGCTTTTTTTTAAATTAAAGCTAATGAAATGTAGAACAACTTTGTCGAGCCAGATTTTTGTTTTTTGCTTCTCTTCTCTACCAAATCAGCCATAAAAAGTCCGATTTATTTTCAAATTTAGAAAAATTTCAATCAATCAATAGATAGCTCGTGTTATACAATTTAACCTTACAGACTAACGTAGTCACTAAATCTTATCTTAACAAACAAGATTAATTGTAATAGTATCTAATTTTAGTAAATAAAAACTACTATTATTGTCTTTATAATATTTTTAGTATAATTTTTATTAATTATTTTTAATAAATAAATAAATCTTTATTAACGGGATAACCCTTTAGTGTACCATGTAAACAGAAGCGAAATAAAAGAAAACATTACAATATAATAAAATTTTACAATAAGAGGCATGAAAGATGTAACAACATATTTTCTTAACTTATCGATTTCGAAATCATTAAATCATAATTACATTGAAAATAATTATAAATTTTATGAACACTTCTTTCACTACCATCTAATAAAACATTACAGAGTACTCTATTTTTTAGTTTAATATCCTCTATTTTTGTCTCCATTTATTACACAACGTTTCGACCCTACTTTTTGGGTCTTTTTCGAGTGATCTGCAAATGAACGACAACGTAGTTATGCACAATGTAGGTTAATAAATAAATTAATAATAAGGATTTAGAGTTAAGTAGTTAAAAGTTCAGTAACGCACCTGAGTCGATTATCGTCGTCGAATAAGACAGAGTCGAGTTATAAAATATATGTACCTATACGTGTAAGCACTGTGGTGGTTGAGCTCGAACTAATTTGTTAGTCATGTTTTAAGAACAATACAAGGTGAAGCGAACTAAACAGTCTTGATTACATAGTCATACATTACATTTAGGTTTTCAGTGTCTGTTTGTAAATTATTCGTGAAAACATAACAGATTCGACGCTTGCGGTTCAGAACGTGCAGCGTTACGAATGACCCGCGAGCCCAAAAACACTCGAAAATCTAAGCATCATGAAAACATAACAGATTTATGGACTTTAATACTCGAAAATGTAATAGATTCGTAACAAATGAAGACATCATAAATAAGATTCTGATCTCTTCTGATCCTTATATAGGTAAGTAGTCTTCGTACTGAGTGGAAGCATTCTGCAACTCCGATAGATGCGGAAGCTCAAAACTTGTTATTTTATTCTCAGTAATTAATAAAAATAATTAATAAAAATTATACTAAAAAATAAAAAAATAAAAACAATAATAGTAGTTTTTATTTACTAAAATTAGATACTATTACAATTAATCTTGTTTGTTAAGATAAGATTTAGTGACTACGTTAGTCTGTAAGGTTTGTTCAAGCCAAATCAGGGTTTGAATATTTAAGTTTAATATCAATATCCGTCTGATGTTAAATTAGATGATATATAACACGAGCTATCTATTGATTGAATGAAATTTTTCTAAATCGGACTTTTTATGGCTGATTTGGTAGAGAAGAGAAGCAAAAAACAAAAATCTGGCTCGACAAAGTTGTTCTACACTGAAAGAAAAGTATTCTATTTTTGAGTGGTTCCCTCTTGATGTTAGAGGATTTTCCTATTAAATACGGTCTCAAGAAGATACTCTAAAATGTAGAGGAATATCCTATTACACTGAGGCATGAAATTTTAACTCATAATCCTCTTAATGCTAGAGGAATCTTTTCTTCTTGTAATATGCAAATATTCTTATTTTTAGTATTTATATATTTCTTTTAAAACGAGTATCCTCTTAATTGCTAGAGGAATCTTTTTGTGGCGGTTGCAACGCGCGATCCGGCACAAATTGGCAGTCCGGCACTACGCGACACGCGCGCGGGCGCCAGCTTGTGAGTATTCACCAACCGCCGCTAGGCCGCGTATGGTGACGGTCAAAAACTCGGAATCAGAATTGATCAGAATTCACTCTCGCGGGCCTCCTTTTATACCCTACGAGACTGAATTTTGCTTCCGAGTTTTTGGCCGCCACCATGCGCGGCCTAGCGGCGGTCGGTGAACTACTCAGAAGCTGGCGCACGTGCTGCGACTCGCGTGTCCGCGAATATCTTGCGTATCCTCTTATTTCAAGAGGCTAGTCGTATTACTGTAATGGAATTTTCTATACAGGAAATTAATCTTAATTCTAGCTTATGAGTCTACTCTTTTATAGATGATATGTGTTAAAGTAAGTGAGAAATGCTTCATATAAGATTTTTTTGCTTAGAGGAAATGCTTAAAGGATTTCCCGCTTATGAATAGAACATTTTTTTGGGTGTACATTTCATTAGCTTTAATTTAAAAAAGAAGCATCGAAATTGGCTCAGATTTAGAGGCTGTAGCCTTTTTTGAAACACGAAATGTCATTTGGCCCCACTGTGCGGCGGCGCGGGAGGCCCAACAATTTTAGGGGCTCGTCCGGGATAATGGACAAGCCGCGAAAAGACTCTTAAAAACGGCCCCTTCCCGGAAAAGAGCCCAGCTGGGCACCTCCGTTACCGACGATTCAACGATGGAAGTCCCGTCTCTCCAAGCGATGCTGTAGGAGATTAGGAAGATGCTCGAGAAGCACACAAGAAGAGAGCAGGAGCTAGTTGCGGCTCTTCACCTACGGGA